TGGATCGTGTCGTACTGTGCCTACAGTGTGATAAGCAGACAAGCGTTAGCGGCATCAAAAGATACCACTGATGTTCTATTTCAGCACATGTTCTGGAAAAATACCAGTTTATTTTTTCTTCTTTGAAAATGGTTCATGACAACTTGCATTCACTTATATTGCTAGAGATGATTTCAACTGAAAACTGCTTCTTATGAGCTGCTGTTTAAGAGGTAGGTTTTGTGCATTGCTTTGATTCTCGGGGACTCTTCCATCTAGAACAACGTAGTCCTGATCATGAGCTGTCTCCATTTCACTAATTTTCTATGCTACATTTTAAGTAGACTTGCATATTAAGACACTGGTTTTCCTGATAAAAGGCTTTTCACTGCCTTTTTATGTTTTTTGTGTTTTTGCAAATGTTTATGGTTGCAGTGTTTTTGGCCAGTACAGCTTAAAGTAGGAATCTTGTGCAAATGCTGTTCTAGACTGATGATCTTATGCAAAGCCCATTGAGCAGGACTTCAGCTTTCTTCCCCACAGTGTGTTTCCATGACCTTCTCTTTGTCCGCTGCCTGTTGCCAGGCAGGATTCAGGCAGCTGCTTGCTGATTGGCTGATATTGAGCATATCCTGTGCTGCTCCTATGAGCACTCGATTATAGGCTGGTCCATTGCAGCTAAGCTAATTCCTTTTTTGTTGTAGAGCTGCAATCTCTTTGCAGACTAATAATAATAAGATGTATATCGGAGGAAGTGGGGGGAAGGCTTTCTGGTTGGCTGAAAGAGAAGCCCTTTGTATGTTAACTACACTGGCACATTTTGATTTTACTGTGTATTGCATATTTGGTAATGGGAAATATTTGCAGATTTGTTATTTGAAGGAGGTGCCTGATGATGTGTTTTCTTCTAATCCTGAAGTACATATGACTTTCAAGATTAAAGTGAAGAATTCTTACAGAACAAATATTCGTGGTATTTTGTGTTTCAAAATTGATCATTTTTTTGGTGAACTATTCAAAAACAAAAACAAACATGCAAATTCTACCAATCTATTTACAGAATTTAACCCTGACACGCTTAGCTCTACATGCAGGACTCATTGTGTACTGCACTAAACAAATGCCTTTTCTTGAAATAAAAGGTACCTTGTCATTGGTTTGTGTCCCTCATGACCAAGTCACAAATGTGATGAGTAAAAACTGAAATTACCCAAATATTATATAAGAGAAACGTATAGAAAATATAGCTAAACTTTAAATTGTTGAGTTTAAAATTAAATGCATTCATTTTTTAAGCGGTGAGAGTTTGAAGTATATTTTTGCAAGTCTGAATTCATACAACCTCCTCTGAAAGGCAACCACTTTACCACTTCGAATGGAAGGCAAGTATTTATAAGGTGATTGCTTATTGGCTTGCACGTATACAACCAAACCTGTCTGAACTGGTTACTGATTTATTTGTATCTTATTTTATTCAGCTCTCACATGAGATCTGTTATTTGGCTGCAGTGTGCTCCCTTGTGGGTACGGCTGGAAGCATTTTAAGTCTGGTCTGCAGTGATACGTGATACTTAACCAGCATTTAGTTTTTATCTTTTAATCTCACCTATGTTTATATTCTGTAGCTTTTTTGGGGCATTCTTTGGTTGCAAAAGATTGTGAGATTGAGCTGAAAATATACGAGTTACTCAAATAACTGTCTGACAATTGAATTTTGTAATTCCGTTTTTTTTTTCTACAGTGAATTTGTAAATTGTATTACAGCTTTGTCTTTTTTTAAAATTTAGCTGTAAATAAAACACCTTTTTTTTTTAATGTATTAGAAATTTAAGCTTATTACCTTGGTATTTTTATTCTAACAGAAAAGATGCATCGATGTAAAAAGGTATTGTGATATTTGAATTTAAACTGTTACTTTTGGCAAATTTGAAAAGGAAATGTAATTCATTATACTTTATTTTATGTTATATATGTGAATGAAAGATAGTTTAGATAATTGAGGAAACTATAGAGAATAGAAATACTATTTTGCTTTAAGTTATATTTTATGATTATACAAATGATGTATTTATGAACTTGATTTTAAGTTTTGAGTGAGAATTTTTATTAATCTGTTAAAATACCTTTTGATCACAGTAAGATTGTAAATTCTGTGATGTATGAAGTTTCAAAGACATAAGATCCGTGTAGTGCTCATAAAATAAAGTATTGTATTTAGGGAAATCACGTACTTTTCTCTCTTAATTTTGAGTGTGAGGCCCTATATCTTTGTAATAGATTAGCAGAAGGCTTTTACTAGTCAGTTCACTTATCGTGAGTCCGAAGAAATGTTCAAGGTTAGCCAAGCCTGGGCATTCTTCTCCCCCCTGAATTAGCTCTATGTATCTGTAACAGCATGCATCATAGAACCGTGAGTATGATGATCAGTGCTGTATTATGTGGCAGCCTGATGCATGCTTTTAAAGTTATGTGAAAAAAAAAACACCAAACTTCCTTGTCATGTTCTCAAGAAGGAAGGACATATACTTTCAAAAATTTCATGCTTCTGAAATACATACTTCTGAAGCATGCATGCATCTGGAATAGGCTTTTCTACGCTTGTTCTCACTTTGAAACTGTGCTAAATTAGTACTTTACTTGTATTCTCTTCTTGAGGAATATGAAGATATTGTATTAGTGTGTAGGCAGCCTTGAAAAGCTCCTAACAACTTACCTTGAGGTTTTTTTTGGTGTGGTAGGAAGTGGTTATGGGATGAGAGCGTTTTCTAAGAATGAGTAAATGGAGTTTTCAAATCAGTGTTGCATTTTGCTCCCACTAGTGGCAATAAAAGTAATAGGCAGTCATGTTCAGGAACTTTTTCAGACATGCAGAAAAGCATATTTTCAAGGTATAGTTGTGAGTCTATAAGCAGCTGATAAATTCTTTGAAGGCCTGTTTGATCTGTTGAGAAGGTGTGAATGGATCTGTTATTTAAGCACTATCAGTTATACAAATACAAGAATTCTGGATTGTCAAGAAAAAAAAAATTAAAATAATATGATAGGAGATCTCAATGCTTACAAGAAATGGAAAACAAAGAGGAAAAAATGCAACTTATATCTCTTATCATCTTGCTTGTGCTTTTTGACAAGTTATGGTAACTGAGGGTGATACAAGGCCTTGCTCGTATAGTACAATACGTTGTGGTTGTAAAGTCTAGAATTTTATCTTGACAGTTGAACTTTTACCTTAGACTGTAAATTCATCTTAAAATATCCTAATATAACAACATAGAAATACTAAATAATTTCCTTCATTTAAAAAAAAAAAACAAAAAGAAAACCAAAAAAAAACCAAACGCTGCTTGGGGTAAATAGGGAAGTATCTGGTGGAGGAGTACTGAAAAGATAGAAATAGAAGCCCAGACTACCTATGAGGAACACACAGAGGTTGACAACTCTAATGTACTGAAGAGAAGGCTGAAGGCCAGTCATACAGCTATTGAATAGTTGTAGACAAGCCTGCTTATAAAGAGAGCGGATCCAAACTGTTCCTGTAGTGCTGTAGAATGGTACCATGGTGCAGTGGCTAAGAGTTATGTACAGCATGGGAGGTTCAGGCTGGAAAAAAATTCCCAAGAGGGATTAGTGCAACACTTGAACAGGTTACTTTTCAGCCATTACTCCTTGTGCTATCACTGCTCACCACTGAGAAGAGCCTGATCTCATCCATTTGCGTCTCGCCTCCCTTTAGATGTTTATAAACATTGATCATTAACCAATCTTTCCCAGGCTAAGCAGACCCAGTCACTCAGTCTTTTCTCATATGGGAGATGCTTCAGGCCCTTTATCATCTTTGTGCCCCTCCACTGGACTCCTAGGAGATGCCTGTCTTTTTAGAACCAGGGCACCCGGAAGTGGACACAGTAGTCTAAATGTGACCTCACCAGGGCAAAGTGCAAGAGGAGGATCACCTCTCTCAACCTTCTGGCTGCACTCTTATTAATGTACTCCCAGGATACCATTGGCCTTCTTGGATGCAAGAGCACAGTACTGTCTTATGGCCAACAAGATTAATCAGTTAATGCTAAAGCAATATATAATCTGTTAGGACTATCAAGCTACGGCAGGGGAGATTCAGGCTGGACATTAGGAAGTATTACTTTTCAGAAAGGGTGGTCAGGCACTGGAATGGATGCCCAGGGAGGTGGTGGAGTCACCAAGCCTGGGGGTGTTCAGGGAAAGGCTGGATGTTGTGTTGAGGGACATGGTTTAGTGGGAGCTATTGGGAATAGGTGAACGGTTGGACTGGATGATCTTTTAGGTCTTTTCCAACCTTGGTGATTCTATGATTCTGTGATTCTATGATCTCTGCTGATGCAGCTTAATCTGACCCAAATGCATAAGCACTTGATTCTCAGATGTGAAATGGTTGAATAGATGATCTTGAGAGGTCCTTTATAAAAAAAAAATATATTTTATTTCATTACAAATTCTTTCAATATATTGAAATTTTCTTAGTTATCTGATATAATTATTTTTGTCATTTATTCCAGTTAGATTGATTTTGTTTCCAAGTTTGTCTGAAACTTCTGACATTACGTAGATTTAGAAAGGTAAAATAATTATCAACTGATAGAGCAAGACAGTATATGTTTTGAAAGAAGAGCGTGCTTGCTTTTACATTGGCTCAATACCCATTCTAGCTAGAAACGTAATCGTATCTCTGCTGTAATGATACTGAGTTGATTAGTCTGTGTTACTACACGTCATTAAAGTAGTTGTGTCATCTCAGTGAGTTTTACATGCTTGTATTTGTTTAACATACGTAGAAATCTGCACTTGCTTTTCATGAGGAGAAACAAAATTTAATCGTTTGGTCAGTTGTTTTGGATTTTGTAGATAGTTATACCAGTTTCCTTTAAAATGTGCAAAAAAGCAAATTTCAGCTATAGTCTTTTCTTTAAAACTCCTGCAATAATAATAATAATAATGAAATAATAATGGCCTTCACAAGTCTTATGGAACTTTTTTTTTTTAAGGGTCAAGATGGATAGCACAGATGAACCTCAGAAAAAAGTCTTCAAAGCACGAAAAACGATGAGAGCAAGTGATCGACAACAACTTGAGGCTGTCTATAAGGCTAAGGAAGACCTGTTGAAGACAGTTGAAGTTAAACTGTTAAATGGAAAGTACGAGAACGGCGATTCTGATTTAAATTCTCCTTTAAGCAATACAGACTGTACGGAGGACAAGAGGGAAGTTAATGGCCTAGTGGACTCTAATGAAATTAGTGAAATCAAAAGACCTGAAAGTAGGGCAGAAATTATAGTCAGTGACCTAGAACCTAAACCTCTCTCTCCAGAGAATATTACTCATGAACAAGATATTGATATTGCATTAGTTTGTGAGGCTGAAAACAGAGTGCTTGGTAGCAATAAAGTTAACTTCCATGAAGAAAATAACATAAAAGATCATTTGGACCAAAGAGAGAGTGACACTTCATCAGAAGGTGACAGTAAATCAAACTGTGATAATAGCTCCTCATCTGAAGAGAAAGGAAAAACAAATGACTTAACTATTATTTCTAGTTCGCCTGTTGAAGACAAGAAGAAGGCTGGAGAAGTAATTGTTGAAGATTCTGTTGGGGAAGACGCTATCTCTAGCAGTATGGAAACTGATCAGGAACCAAAACATCAAGGGGATGGCACTGCAGGTCTTTCAGAAACCGTAGCTGAGAAGGCAGTAGATGAGTCAAGTGAAAGTATCCTGGAGAATACTGACTCTATAGAAGCAGATGAAATTATTCCAATTTTGGAAAAACTAGCTCCTGCTGAAGAGGAGATGAGCTGTTTTTCTAAAAGCTCTTTGCTGCCAGTGGATGACACAGCCCCAGATTTAGAAGAGAAGATGGACAACTGTTTGGGTTCACCACTGAAGCAGGAAAGCAATGAAAGTCTGCCAAAAGAGGCTTTCTTAGTGCTGTCTGATGAAGAGGATCCTTGCGATGAGAGGGAGCATGCTGAAGTGGTACTACCAAACAAGTCAGGTCTTCCAGGTAGGAGTTTTTTTTAATTGGTAGCTTTGATTCATCTGGAATTTTGTTCATTTCTTAAAATGACATATGTTTGATGTGTTTCTAAGTCAGTGTTTAAGAACTTCACACTTTTGGGTATATACCGGGAGAAGTAATGAATTTTAGGAGCATGTGAAAATCGTATCAGTGTCTTTGTAATTGAAGGTGATAAACCATACTGAGTGAAGTAATGAGCTTTTAAATTTTTACCAGTATTCTTCAGCATTGTTGGTGTGAGCATTTGTTCTCGCATTAGTATTGTGAGCAGCAAATAAAGAACTTGAAAGGCATTAAAATGATACTTTATCATAGAGAAACTCCTAAAAGCAAGAAAGAGAGAAGGTCTAACCAACACCTAACCAAAGACCAGTATCAATTTTTGCCACGTTTATGGTATTTTTCTTCCCTGTTGCCATTTCTAAAAAGAAAGAAAAAGAAGTATTAAGTTGGGTTATTGTCACACACAAGCATTCAATAAATCAAACAGTATTCCAGTTCATACCTTTTTCTCTCTCGTTTCTTGCATAACTATTTTTGTTAAAGGACTCTATTTTGGCACTATATATTCCTGTAGTGATTTTATGTCAGGCATATTCTGAATGTAGAAAACTTTCAAACTCTGCATCCAGACTTTAAATATATCAATCACATATACCATATCTACAGCTAAAAGCAGCATTTTTATACCATATTATCATTCTTATTCTTTCTGGAACTCGCATTCTCAAGTAATTGCAGGAAAAAGTAGAACCTATACACCAGGTTTTTGTTGTTTGCGTGCTCATAAGCATGTTCAGAGGCCTAACAAAAGACAGTCTTACCCACTACTTTTATGTAGTCTTGCAATTTGAGGGGTGGAATTTGTGGCTGAGAAAGACTGAAATTAGCAGCAAAAATTATCACAGTCCCCCCATCAGAATATAAAAGGGAGTAATTGGCAGGTGTGGTACAGGACTTATTGGAAAAGAAATGTACTAACTTATTGTTCCTAAGGAGAAGAAAGTATTTCAACTTTTTTTAACATGCTCATAAATTTTAAGGATGAAAACATGCTAGTAATACAGACGTAGCATAACCCCCATTTGTTTCAAATTTCTTTCACCAAATAATGATACTACTAGAGAGGTTTCAGAAAAAAACAAATCACGTAGATTATTTTCATGCCATTTAACTTTAACTCATAGTGGTTTTATCCAACTTCTGTCTGGTGACTGTGGCAACTGGTTGACATTCAAAAGCATTAAGTAAATGAAACTGGTACTTCAGTCTTTCCATGCAGTTAGCAGAACCAGCAGATAAATTCCTGATGTTAAACTGATGTTTCTGCTCTCTTGTTGCTGTCACACTGTTTTGTATGTGTAAGTATTTTGGGGGCATGGGGCACTCTGTCTTACTGTCTCACTTCAGACAAAATAAAACCAATAAATAATTTATGGCTATATTGTTGTTGCCCTCTATCGGTAGTTAAAGAAAGCTGTGGCTTCAAGCTGCACCACTGTTAGCATTTTATGAATCAATTACTGCACTAAGTCAAATCTATTCGTTCATGCTTGACTGAGTAGGATTTCAAGAGATTTATCAAGATCAAGCTGTCTTTGTTTATGGGAAGTTAACACCCAGTTTCTTACCTCTGTTTTGCTGACGATGAGACTGTCTTTCACTAATTTGTAATAGCAGTTTGGGTCTTGAATAAATAACTGGAGACAGGGAGATGAGAATGTCTTTCTATCCATGTTTCAGACTTTCCTTCTTTTCTGGTGCTAACCTTTAGGTTTATGCCATTTAAAACAAGAATTAATGGGTTGCATAGTCTTAGAGAATTTTATTTGGATATTAAAATCCACGTTTCTCTGGAGTTGCAAAAGTGATATCAGCGTTTAAGTAAGATCTTCTGGAAGATGTCTGTGGGTGGGATATGGTGAATAGAAAAAAATACTGTATGTACTTATGTAGAAGTTGTAGTGCATTATAAATCCCTTCTCTAAAATGTTACAAATAAATCAGTGATTGTTGGTCTTATCACAGTTTAAGGCTTCTCTCATTGGATATGAATGAAGTTAGGATAACAAGGTGGCTTTTTTTTTTCTTCTCATCTTAATCAAAAAGAAGCACACTGGTCACAGAGAAGTCTCAACTCTGAAGCAAAAGGTTATAAGTGAATACTGAATATTGGACTACTATTTGCAGAAGTCTGCAAAATGATACAAACGATTGTATCCAGCAATATTTTTTCTGTTCTGGACAAGAATAATTTCTTGACTAGTAATTTTTTTTTTTTTTCTGTCAACTGCAACAGTTGGAGACTTTTATAGTTGCATGAATGTAATTGCAACTGTTTCTAAAAGGAATACTGACCAGTGAAATGTATTTTGTCGATAGTGGAAACATGTTAATTTCTGCATGCTAGCTTCTTAAATTTTCCCATTAAGTTGCCAAGCAGGGAGCTCAAATTTTTCCAAATAATAGATTCTACATGAAATATATTGAGGAAATCTTCTGGGGTCCCATTTTGTGCTAAATGTAACGGGATTTTAACACAGAAATTAGCAGTCCTTTTACGGATTTATGTTTCAGTAACAAATATCAGAGAGGCTGTCAGGACCAGAAACAATGTTGTATGGGAAACCAGGTGGATAAATGCCTTGTAATATGGTTAACAACTTTCAGAAGGGGTCTGTTAAAATTATATCTGTGGAGATGGCATAGAAATTATTTAAGAATACCATCTTGGAAGTATGTGGAAGCTGTTCAGTTAAACAGTAAAGCTTTGACAGGATGCAGAGGAAAACTAGTGTGACTAAGCAGTAATGTAAAGAATGGTTTTCCTTAAATGGAAAGGTAAGTAGCTTTTGTTTTTCAAGGAGAATTAGTGTATATAGTAGTTGAGTGATGCTTAAGATTTCTATAATGGGAGGTCATACCTTCAAAAACCTTGGCAATGAAGATGTGATTGAAGTATATGAACTATTTCTGATACCCAAACACAGTGACATCTTGCCAAGAATGTACAGAAACTGAATGGTTTGGGGACAGGGTGGAAAGTATTCATGGAGGAAATAATCTTTTGAAGGACGGAAAGTAAATCCACTGAGATCTGTTCTCAAGACTGCCTTGAGCAACAGATTGAAAATGAAAGGTCACTACTGAGGTGACAGTTTGCTGATGGTATTATGAAGAGCTGCAGAGGAATTTTGCAGGAATCTCACTGAGGTTAACTACCAAGTGATATGTGAGTACAAAAGCATTCATAACTTGACAGAAAGAGCTAGCCACTCAAGAATGATTGTGCAGGATTATATTAGGTAGTTTTATGAAGTCATTGATTTAGTAGAAGTAAATGAAAGTAAATTAAGAACGCTGAGAATAAATGAAATAGAGGAAAACACCAAGCTTTAATATTTTTTTGACTGGGCAGTGTTCTCTTACTGCAATTCTTTTACATTGGAGCTTTATTAGAAGGTCCTTGCTGACCCATGCTAGTGTTCTTCCGCACTGATTCTGTGTTCAGTATGATAAAATGGACTATTTGCATGTTTTGAGTTGGCTGCTCTTGAAGAACAACTAGCTCTCTGGAGCCCCTTTTCTCTCCAGGGCAGTCTCCCACTGGATACAACGAAGTACAGTCTGAACAAGGTAGGAACTGCTCTCCTAAAGGCATAGGTTAGACTGTTATTTCTTGTGACTTCTTGCAAGATAATAAATTCCACAATCACATGGTTCTTGCAGCTGAATTTACTATTGACTTTGCTGCCCTCGACCAGTTCTTCCTTGTTTGTGAATAACAAACCTACCAGAGCATCTCCCCTACTTGTCTCAGTAATATGTTGGTAGATTGCCTTCAGTGCACTCTAGAAACCAGCTGGATTGTGCTCAGACTTACAGCCCTTCCAGTTAAAAGTACATCTGTGAGTCCCCAGGCCTGGTATTATGTGAGATAGCACCATTGACTTGTTCTTCTTGAACGAGTAGTTCTCCTTGAAGTAGTTTGTGATGAGAGGCTACCACAATCCTGCATGCATTACTTTGCCATTTGTGGTCCTGAAATGCCCAGCTGTCCTATTGCCTGGCCCCACAGTGAAATTCTGAGCATTTCCTGCATAAAGCATTGCCACTGCTAAGCCTTTACAGCCTGTCCTTCATGAAGAACTTGTGTTCATCTGTTCTAACACTGTAGTCAGTTGTTATCCCACTATGTCTCCAATTCAGTGAAATCGTGATTCTGCGGCTATGTAGAGGACTGGTAATTCCTTGGCTTCTCTATAACAGTACTTGTTTGTGTCCTCCAGGGCTAGTTTGAAAGCGAGCTTACTCATTTTTTATCGTTGCTAATAGTCTTAAGTAAAGCAGGGCACCCAAGTACAACTTGTTACAAATAGAGAGTGCAGTTAACATTTAGAAGAATACAGCTTGTCTTCTAGAAAGTAGTATTTGATGAGAATTTCACAGCATGTGAGTGGCAGATAAACAACTAAAAATGATCCTCTTGTTCCTGTATTGTAATATGTATAGCTCTCAAAATTCTTGAATGTACAAACAGGAAAGTAAGTTATGCTCAGATAGCAGTTATGGAACCACTTTTTTCTTTATTTCTCGGTATTTCCAGTTCTGGTGTCTAGTCCTAAAAGGGATAACAGGAAGCTTTCAGACAGCTGGTGCAATGGTAGTTCAGTATTTGGGAAATGTAATACTGGAAGGCTTAAGAAACATGAGTTTCGATCATCCAATAGAAGATAAAGGAAGTCTGTAGTATCTGCAACTGAATATATGGTGCAGAGAGGTTTCTTAAATTTGGCAGACAAAGGTACAACTGCTGCATCTTTGATCCATGGGATTTTAAAAACCAGAAATGAGACACACTGCTGTCTGACAGACTTTGGAGAGACTGGATCAGGATGTTGGTTTTATCAGTTAGAATTTTAAATCTGTCATGCATTTTTTTTTCCTATTAAAAATACATTAATAAGTAACCAAATAAAACAATA